GCTCTGTCCTCAAGTCAAAGTCACATTATGACTGACGGTCAGTCAGTTAGTTAAGTCTTGGTGTCGAACCCCATCTGGGGCTGTTTGACTGTTACGGTCTTGTTTTCTGTGGAGGGCCTTCTCTGACGAGAGGACGGGTCCGTCTTTTGTATATGTTGCTGGTCCTTGCCAGCGCAGTCTTTCTGGGGTCCGAGTCCCTTGGTACTCGAGACAAAATATTAATTACTCTCTCAAATTTGAGACTTCCCTTTTCGTCGCCGGAGGTACGTGCTAGCGTAGTTGGTTGAGGCACTATGCTACAAAACAATGGGTACCGGGGGGGTAAAGCTGACCACTCACTTCCAGGTAGTGCCGAGGTCAAGAAAATGTGGGTCTATATATCCATTCATGTTGTAGTGATTCATCATTCCAACACAGGGACAACTTTACCTTACTGCGCTCGATTAACAGGAGAACACAAGCTCCGTTCGCTTCTTAACAGATTTCAGACGGACGAAGCATGGTCATGCAACATAAGACGAACTCGCCATATGCCTACCAGGCCTATCGTGGCCGTGTTGATTTCTGAGGTCGGGCCGACACTGTAACTGTCTCGTGCAGCTTGTGAAACCTCACGGTTATTTCCGAGAAAGAACAGGTCGAAAATTCGAATCCAGTAATTCTAGAAGAAATTTGGTGCTGAAGAGTCCTGTCTTTTGGACTATAACGTCTGGAATCCGTTGAAATTCAGCAGACGTTTCGGAGAAATATGTCGCCTCTATCTTCAGTATAGGAGAATAAGCAAAGCAAGAAATTAACATGAAACAGGCAGCAAACACCTTTCTACCACCTGTTTCATGCTGGTTTCTTAAAGTACGTCGAAAGTGATTAACGTTTCGTATGAATAAGTCAAGTCCATCTTCAGGATATGACAACAACTCAAGCAACATGAAGTTGGCATCAAGCTGCTTACTACTGCCTGGTTCACTCTGGTATCTTGTTTGTTTTACACTTATATCCAGCGATGGATGCGATATTTCTCCGAAACGTCGGTTGACTTTCAAAGGATTTCGCACCATTCTATCCCACAAAATACAACTCATTATAACCACCAATGTCAAGACCTCAAATCCTATAAGATTTTTATTAATTTGATATATAATCCTTCTTTATTTAACGAGCTGTACCATTTGGTGTGCTCATACAGTAGCTAATTAGGTCGGAAAGTGTTTATGAAGAGGGAATAAGTACATATTTTAGAAAGAGGTGGTCGTAGCATATTTATTTAATACCCTTGCATTTCCGTGATATACGCTAACCGTCTTACAGTGCACACAATTTTTCACCTTACTCTTCTCTTTTGCATTACATGTTTCAGCACTAATGTGCCATCTTCAGGTGCGTTTTCTCTATGCACGTCTAACTACTGGATTGCATGCCCTGATGAGGCTCTGCCAGTAGCTACGTTACCGCTGGTATAGCTCTCAGGGTCCTTGGTATACTCAAACCCTCTCACCACGATAAGGTGGAGACACCAACGAGGGGGCTTCATACTAAAATGACTAAAATATATATTCGTCATATATAATAATAGATTTTAAATATTACAACTTTTCAGGATTCGTCATCCTTACGTCGTATCTCAACACGCGAATCACGCCAATCCTCTGTCGGAGCACTCTTCGTACATTCATGTGCATTGTGCTGTTTGTTGTGTCTTGCTCCTGCTTGCGTTGTACTACTGGATATGTGTGTCTCTTTTTCTTCCTGCTTCATTATATTCCGTTATTTTAATTTGGGCGTATTTCGGTATTAATCTATTCTTCAAACACGTCTTATTAAAATTTATGTTGGCATTGCAATGTAATAGTTTACGTTTACAATTCATGTATTGGTATACGCTTCTAGTATGATTACTATTAATAATATCCAGTAGTATAACGCACGCAGTCACAGGAGCAAGACACAACACAGAGCACAATACACACATGAATGTAGGAAAAGTGCTCCCACAGAGGAGGATTGGTGTGATTCGCGTATTGAGATACGACATAAGGATGACGAATCCTGAAAAGTTTTAATATTTAAAATCTCTTATTATATTTGACGGATATATATTTTAGTCATTTTAGTATGAAGACATCAGGGCATGCAAAGCAGTAGTTTGACGTGCATAGAGAAAACGCACCTGAAGATGACACATTAGTGCTGAAACATGTAGTGCAAAAGAGAAGAGTAAGGTGAAAAAGTGTGTGCCCTGTAAGACGTTTAGCATAAATCATGGACATGAGTCAGTACAACAGGACGCTAAAATATAACATTACCCTTGCATTTGTCTGGAGGAACCGAAAACAGCAAACATCACAGGGTCACAGTGTCGGCTGGGATGATGCCAGGATTTTGGAAACTGAAAGTAACAGCGAGTATAAGAAATATAAGGGATCGGCTCATATGGCATGCTTACCAATCCAATCAGTCAAACCAGTTTGGACATTTCTCCTGTTTGGATCCCCCTCAGCAGCAATTAGGTTTCTAACTCACAGAGAAGTTCTGCATGACGCGAGAGGTTCTTCATGGGTTTCCATAAGGTTTCAGTCTCAAGTGTTCAGGTTACTCCGCAGATGACACTAGTGGTAGGAGATTAGTTCTTTCTAAGGGGCCCAACTGAGCAGGTGTCTACCTTTCTCACCTGAATACGGAAACATATCCAGTTTCCGAAATATCATGTCCTCTGTTACCTAAAATTCCGGAAGATGGAAAAACTCCAAATATTACAGTAATTCTGTGTGTCATCCACCATCGCTAGAACCCTTTAGAATCTTAATTCAGGATAGCCAATAGGGTGAGTGATTTTCGAACCGGATACAATACAGATCTATACATAAAGCTCTGCAGCCGTCTGTCGGTTTGTTTCAACGATATGCCTTCTCGGCTTTCTGTCATGTCGTGCTTTGGATTGCGCTACGATTCGCTGAACCCCTTGTATGTGACTAAACAAATCAAAATAACAGACCTACAATTTCGTTTTTAATATTTGCTCGAAACAAAATTTTATCAGCCATGTCAAATTATATAAAGATTATTTTAAAAAAACGTATTTTCATATTGGCAAACAAAAGTGGTGTATGCCTTGATTTAAATATAAAATCAACTGTAGACACCGCGGCAGAAAGTAGTGCGTGACGTTTATTATTTCGCCCTTAAGTTCTTGCATGCTTCGCTCCCTCCCGTCTATAAACCTGTGAACCGATGCAGAAAACGACACAGGGAAATTTACGATCGGTTCGTTCAAAGAAATATGTGCGTGTTTTTTTCATAACTCATGAGGCCAGAGTGAGCAACAGTACAAAATGATATATGGGCCTAACAGAACTACGTATCTTGTATGCATTTTGAGAAATGTCTGTTTGTTTACATATATATTATATTCCTTATCCCAGATACCTCATCTCATCTATTCACCTACGTATCTGTCCCTCTCTTTCTACCTGCATGCCTATATATATGCTTGTCCGTCTGTCTTTCCATTTGTCTATCTATCTAGCAAGCTAGCTAGTTTTCTGCCATCTATCCAGCTACTTATCTACTTGCCTCTCCCTATTTGTATCTCCGTCTGTCTGTCCGTGTGTCTATCTGTCTATCTATCTGTCTGTCTATCTACCTATATCTGCTTATCTATCTATCTGGTTGTCTGTCTGCCTATGTCTGCTTATATATATATACTTACTTACTTACTTACTTACTTACTTACTTACTCATGGAGCTGAGCCCATCTGGAAGAGCCAGCAATTCTGCAGCTACTCGAGAATTTTCCAGCATTTTATGGAACCCGAAGGTTCACTACCGTGTTCATAAGAGCCCTCTACTGGTCCTTATCCTGAGCCAGATCTATCCAATCCATACCATCCCATCCTATCTCTCTAAGATCCATTCTAATATTGTCCACCCACCTACGCCTTGGTCTTCCCTGTGGTCTCTTTCCTTCTGGCTTTCCCACCAATATCCTATAGGCATTCACCGTCTCCCCAATTCGTGCTACATGACCTGCCCACCTCATCCTCATTGACTTGATCATTCTAATTATACTTGGGGAAGAGCACAAGTTGTGAAGCTCCTTATTATGGAGTTTTCTCCAACCTCCTGTCACTTCATCTCTCTTCGGTCCAAATATTCTCAACACCCTGTTCTCAAACACCCACAGTCTATGTTCCTCCCTTAAAGTCAGAGACCAAGTTTCACACCCATACAGAACCACAGGCAAAATTATAGTTTTGTATATTCTAATTTTTATGCTTATATATGTCTGCTTACCTATCTATCGATCTATCTGCCTGTCTGTCTGCCTTTGTCTGCTTAACTATCTGTCTGCGTGTCTCTTTCTATCTGCCTAGTTGTATATCTGCCTATCCATTTATCTGTCTAGCAATCTATATATCAATCAATATATCTAATTTATATATCTATTATTTTATTTGTCCATCCATCTATTATTGCAAGTTATAATGATTATTCACTTACCCTTTTAGTTCTAACTACATTGGGCATTGAGAAGCTAATAGTCGTTCATCTAGATAAGAAATTCCATGTACTTTTAGAAACCGAATGTTCATTACTGTGTTCGTAACACCTCGCATTGGACCCAGTCCCGATCCAGATGAATCCAGACCAAATTTTCAATTTTAATTTCTTTCACATTTTAATATTATGTTCCCATATAGCCCACATTTACCAAGTGATCTTTTCCTTTTCGTTTCCCGACTAATTCTCTTCGCTTACATGCATTTACATGTTCTTCCATCTTATCCCTCTTTACTTTATCAATTTCGCAGTTTCGTCCTCTTACACTATTTCATAAAATCGTCTTTCTTTTCTGTAATCATAATCTAAAGTGTTAAAATCTCGCCATGTTTGACTTTGTTCTCACGCTGATCTTGCATATTTGTGGCAGGAACAGTTCACACATAATTCTGCGCGCAAAACCGCTTTCTATTCCGACTGAGTGTATTCTGCGCACCACTTACCGCGCACAGCAGCAGCACCGGACCAGCGAAGCTCCAGATGTAGAATGGAGACGACAGCCAACATCTGGAAAAAAGACGGAAGAATACTCAGTTTAATGAATTTCTTATTGCCGTCCCACAAACTGTGCAGTAAACATACTCTATTATTAATCGATTCGTTCCGTGTTCCGAAATGTTTCCAACTCCTACAGATATCTCCTTCATCCGCTCCTTCTGCCGTCTGCAGAACTCGAGACGGCTATTTCCGGAGCCGCGTTACAGAGACGGAAGATCTTAAATATATAAAAGAAACGGGATGGAAAAAAAATCAGTACCGTTGCAACTCGACGCTCGCTTTCCTTTCTGAAAGTTCATCTGCTGTAGCTGGCCTGTCTTAGGCAGAATTTGTAGGGACGAAGAAATCTGGAAGCTGATGTCTCTCTCTCGCCGTAGCTCTTTCGTAAAAAATGTAAAAGTAACTGATAAGAAGCAGAAGTGACGTCATCTTACTCACTTCGAGCGATAACCTTCATGTTTATTTATGGCCGATATAGCTCGGATGACCGAGGGGTTGGGAATCGAGTCCCAGTAGGGTAAAATATCTTCTCCACGTCGTCCAGACCGGCTCCGGGGTCACCCAAACCTCCTATCCATTGGATACGGGGGGGGGGTTCTCCGGGTGTAAAGCGGCAAGGGCATGTAGCTGACCACTCATCTCCAGCTAATGCCGAGATCAAGAAAAAGTGGATCTATACATCCACTCCCCCATACGCCTTCATGGCCCAGTGCTTAATTAGATTCCTTGAAGTGTTCTGTCTTCTGGAATGTCTTGCCTTGTAGCCTGGAAGAAGTTAACAGAAGTTTAGGAGGAATGTATTGCTACTATCTTCAAGTTTAAAGAGTGTGTCCAGGAAAATAATAGTCTGTTGCTGGCTGCTTCTTCGTTACAATTAATTATTGTGTACATGTACAACAGTTAAAACTGTGGGATATGAAGACTAGAACCTCGACCGTATAGAAATATATTCTCTTTCAAGTATTGAGGTGTTACAACAAGTTTTTCAAAACCTGTTTCATTTCCATTTAAGTTTTATTGAAAGCATGTTTTGTTGTTTGCTGCCGTGGATAAAGATATTTGTCGCAAATTTCAGTATATGCCAAACCAAATCATATGTGAATTGATTGAACAGTTAGCATATTAAAATTAAAATTAAAATTTAATTTGAAACTTGTTTCCTTTTTCTACCTGGTACAGATGGGTAAAAAATGGTAAAGCTATCCCTCTAACAGGCCATGGAGACCCATAGGGTTGTGAGACGTCGATGCTTCTACATTTTCTAGACAGTTGGCTCAAAGATGGCGGTAAGGTTGTCAACCTTACGCGCCGGCCACGCTTTACTCCCCAGGAAAATTATTTAATTAATTCCTGGTACTCATTTCTGTTCGAAGCTGAGTCAACCCCAGGGCCATAGTGCGGCTGGAAGGATTAGGTCGATCAAATGAGATCGGGAATCGAACACGCTATCTTTCGACTTGTAGTATAGTGCCTCAAACAATTACGCTACCGCTTGCCCAACTGTGTGAAGATAAGGCACAGAAAGGAATTCAAACCGAACTGGAATGTAGTCATGTTGAGCAGGTAGTTGTGCTGCAAGAAGGAAGAAGTGGAGGAAAAGACACAGTTAATCTCTAATATCTCGTTTGTTTCTGTATTTGTATTGCGTGGAGTGTCTTAGGGATTAAATTATTCTTCGAGAAGAATTAAGTACAAGAGCAATCCAGTTAATTAAAAATGACTGTGCTACGGAGCGTCAATATCATCGTGAGTCCCGTAAAATTAGTAGAATCTCTAATTAAAATGAATCTTACTTTCTTTCTGAACCATTCAGAAGTATCATTACTTAGTGAACGTAAATATTATTAATAAATGCACACAATTATGAGTTTCTTTTTTTAAAGATTTGTTAGGAGTGCAGAATGTCGATGGTGGTAGCACTGACCTAGCACTTACACATTTTCTTATTGAAAAAATAGTAATCATCTCTAAGAAATGGGATTTTTAGAATGTTAGGGAATCATTTCAGTAGCTCAGAGAGTAGGTATTTTTAGTGTATAGCCCCAACTACTGAGAGGATATCTGTGTGCCACTCTTGCTCTCATGCTTACGCCACGACTGGTAATAAACATGTTGAAAAAATGGATACCTTTTATAAAAGTGTTTTCGACTGATTCATTAAGTATGTAATGAAAATTTCGTCAGAAGATTAAGATACAAAATCAGAAGATCCTTCAAACCTACAATCCCAAATGATGATGCTGTAGAGCACCAAATTTTATCACACAAATAATCTAATTTTCAAAAGCACAATCTTTCGCAGCGCAGAATTTACAAACAAATTTTGGACTTTTCTTGATAGGTAGACACAGAATCGGAGTTATCACGTCTTAATAAACAGAAAATGAGGTGATAGCTGTAATCATAGAGGAATGAGGAACGCAAAAGTCTGATAGACAGAAGTTTGAGTTCAGAAAGTTAAACTATGTGAAACTTAAAGAAATGAAATTCTTGAAGTTAAAGTCTCGAACTATAGTGTTGCTCTGAGAAACCTTGGCGCAACTGTGGACACAGGCATAAATAAATGGCATATGACTGAATCAGAGAGATTAGTGAAACTTCAGACAAGCAGGGTGTAGACAACTGCGAGTTAAAGCAGGAAAATTAAATCTATGACAGAGAATGCATAAAATTATGAGATCAGAGAAAACATGGCAATTTCCAGGTTTTGGAGAACTTAAAGACTAATAAAAGTAAGAAATGTAACACGTGAAATGAATTCACATCTCAGAGAAAAGGATAACATTTTAAACACAAAATTAATATCCTGGAAACGTGTAATAAGAACGAAAATTTTACACTTGTGCAGAGGTATACATGAATTTTGAGTTTATGGGCCCAAAACTGACTTAGTAAATTTAAATAATGGTTTGGTTACAGATTTATAAAATATTCTGAATATGCTGAAGAATTGATTTTGTCAAGGCGCGTCCACATTACTTGTGCTCGTGCGTCAGAAGGTTACAGCTGCCGGAAAATCAGGATCTGTAGCTGATGAAGTGGACGCCAAAATTGGTTTGCATACAAAGCCTTCGCATTTCTTCACAACAGATATCAGCTCCAGATCCTGATTTTCCGGCAGCTGTAATCTTCTCACGCACGAGCACGAGTAATGTGGACGCGGCTTCAGATATTAAGAAAATATGGGGTCATTAAATTCCCGAGCCCCTCCATTTGAGCTTGATATGCTATTCAGAAGTTCACAAGACAAAAATTGTCAAATACTGAACAAATTCCGGAACAAGTAATCCAATTAGTGGATATAACAATATATATTCAGATTCACAGATGTATCCAATCTACTTGAAAGAATGAAAAATTCCCACAGCAGTGGAAGCGATATACGATTTTCCTGTTTACCTTTAGGGCGATCAAACTGGCTGTCGTAATGACGGAGGCATATACTTCTATCAGCTACAGGTAAAGGTTTCCAATATTCTTCTTCCAAATTAACCCCTTAGGGAAAATAAATTACTGGGGAACATCAGAGTGGACTTTGGCCTAATACTCGTAGATCAAGTCCTGATCACAAAGTCTGCATTCGTCAAACACTGGAGAAAGAACTTCATGTACTGTGGGATATTACTTTAGGAGCTTATGAACTTAAGGAAGTCTGTAATTTGCTTAGGAGAGGAGTCGGACAGTATCCAAACTGATTTTTTCAACCATAAAACTNGTTTCTCACGGTGTTGTCGCTTGCAGATTTCTTATACTTTTTCTTCTACCCTGAAGATGGGGGCGATACGTTCCTCCGAAACGTCGGTTAACACCACATATACACGGTGCCAAATCCCAGAAGACTGCTTTCTAAATAAAATATGTTTTATGAAAGACCTGTGGTACAGTACTTTACCTCATACATGGAAATTCAATTCGCAAGGCCACTAAATTTTAAAGTTTAATCACAGTATGTCGTAAGGAAGTTCAAAGAACACAAGGGATCTAAATTCGATTGGACACATCAACTTTTGTCCACGCGCGATGATGTTGTTCATTGATCGACTTTATATACACCAAAGAAAAACGTGGAAACCTCACTATTAGGCATGCAGGAAAAGTATGTAGACCTGCTTATTCGCGTCATGTGACCAGAAGGCACGACAAAATTATCGAAAGCATGGTAACCTTCAGATATTTAGAAAGCACAATAACAAGTCGAAATATTTTAAAGAAAGAATTAATAGTGAAGAGCTAATTAAATTCGAGTAATGCTTTCGTATGGGTGTGAAATGTGGTGATCTCTCACATTAAAGGTAGAATATTGAATGAGTGTGTTTGATAAGGGGTGCAGAGGAGGCTGTTTGGATCTGAGAAAGAGGAAATGAAAGGTCGATTGATAAAGTTACATTACAGGAGTTTCATGAAATGCACCTTTCACCAGATGCTGTTAGGATGATAGAACCAAGGATACTGAGATTGGCGGGACAGGTATCACGCGCAGGTATGTACACGAAACGTAGTAGGAAATTGTGAAGATAAAACATTGTGTGGAAAGCATAAGTTTAAACAAGAGGATACTCTTGAGGTGAATGTTAAGTACGAGTATAAAGTGTGGGAGAGTGAGTATTCGGTTCATTTGGCTCAGAATATGGACCAATGTCAAGTTCTTTATGAACTCGGTAATGACATTCACCCTCACTCACTCATGGAGCTGAGCACTTCGTGAAGAGCCGCCAATTCTGCAGCTACTCAAGAATTTTCCAGAATTTTATGGAACCCGAAAGTTTATTACCGTTTTCACAAGAGCACTCCAGCCGTCCCTATCCTGAGCCAGATCAATCCAATCCATTCCATTCCATCCTATTTCTCTGAGATCAATTTTAATATTATGTAAGATTTGAGGTTTTCACGGCCATGACTATGAAGCAAGCAGTCTTCTGGGATGTGGCACCGTGTAGATGTGGTGTTAATCGACGTTTCGGAGGAACGTATCGCCTCCATCTTCAGAGTAGAAGGAAAAATAAGAAATC